GTAAATATCAAAACACTTTCTGGAACACCATGCTAGAAGTAGTGAACAGAGCCATGCATATGGAATGTTTTCAAAAGGACTTTAGCATGAAGGATGCTGTATATGCTGTTGCCAATGCTTGAAACACAGTGACTAAAAACATAGTGGTACATGCCTGGCACAACCTCTGGCCTGCCGCTGTGTTCAGTGATGATGAACAAAGCTAATGACTTGGAAGGATTCTGTGTGTCAAATGAGAAAAGTCTGATATCCCCTTACATATGCAAAAAAGATTATCAGTAAGCTGGAAAAAAGTGAATTTCAGAGACATTTTTTAAACACTGATAATGAGGCTCCAGTTTTCACTTACTGCTCAATGGTGAGAATGTTGATAGTGGTTATTAAGATGATTGTGATAACAGTGACAGTGAAGATGAAGTTAACACTACAGAAAAAGTATCCATAGATGACTTGGTAGAATGAAGGACTAGACCAGTGTGTATTTATCACGGGATAAGAAAACATGCCAATTTTTAAAATCAAAGAGACTTCTAAGTCAAAAATCATTATTAATGAGACAGATGACTCTGGAGGAAACCTTTTTAAAAAGCCATTTTAGGAGAATGCCTCCTTATCACTAGAGAACCCACTTTCTGATCTCTCAACTGCAAAATGTATGGAGATTGAAATCCTATCATGGTTTATTGTTGCCATTAACAGCTGACTCAGGTGTTCTGATGATGCAGCTGTGCTCACAGTTGCCCTCAATACAGGATTTTTCCACTGTATTAATGGTATGTCTTATTTTTTACTGTTAAGTACTTTTGTGTGAAAAGTTTAAGAAAACGACTATTCATCAGTAACATAAATTTAGTCAGGAATGATGATGAGGCCAAATAACCACAGATGGTCCCCACGGATGGCTGAGTTGGTGACATCTTTGTTTTCTGATTGTGTGATGTACACAGCATGCTTTCATGTACAAATTAATAAAAAATATATGAAATTACCTTTAGGCTACATGTGTGAGATATATGAGAAACATAAATGAATTTTGTGTAGACTTGGGTCTATGCCGAAGATATCTCATTATCTATGTGTAGATTTTCTAAAATCTGAAAAATATTCAAAATCCGAAACAGTTCTGGTCCTAAGCATTTTAGACAAGGGAGGCTCAACATGTACATACACTTGAACAAATGTAAGTATACATAATCAAATACATTTTGTTATTGTTGTTTTGCATGAACTTTATTAGGTAAATTGAGGATAAGAAAAGTTTTTATTTTGCATTTTATTTTTACTTATTCTCTAGTGCCCTTCTTTATATATATCTGAATTTTCTTTTTCTTTTCTCTTTTATTCTTTTATGAGATGGGGTCTTGGCTGTGGACACTTAGGCCAGAGCGCAATAGTATGGTCATGGTTCACTGTAACCTCAGGCTCCTGGGCTCAAGGAATCCTCTTAATCAGCCTCCTGAATAGTTAGGACTTCAGGTGTGTACCACCACATCCAACTAATTTTTGTAAAAAAATATTTTTTGTAGAGATAGGGTCTCACTGTGTTATCCAGGCTGCTCTGGACTTTTTTGCCTTAAGAGATCCGAAACAGTTCTGGTCCTAAGCATTTTAGACAAGGGATGCTCAACATGTACATACACTTGAACAAATATATTTACTTTATATCCCTCCTATAGGGATATGCCCACCTCTAGGGATAGGATTACATTTTCCTTCTCCCTAGAGACAGGAAAAAATTCAGTTTTTTCTAGCAACAAATTCAATTTTTTTCCCCCTGTCTGAGAAAGCCTTTGTTTCACCTTTGCTTTTGAAAGATAATGTCACAGGATACAACATATGAAGTTGGTCTTTTTTTCCCTCTTAACACTTAAAATATTTCACTCCACTCTCTTCTTCCTTACATGGTTTCTAAGGGGCAGTCAGATGTAATTCGTATCTTTATTCTTCTAGGGGCATCCCCCCTTCTCTCAAGGTTCCTGGATCTGTGGTTTGGTGTCTGACATTGACTGGGGAAATTTCAGTCATTACTGCTTCAAGTGTTTCTTTCTTTTCCTGCTGATATTCCATTACGTGTGTTATTACACCTTTTTTACTTGCCCTGTGTTTCTTGGACATTTTATTCTGTTTTTTTCAGTCTGTCTTTCTCTTTTTCTGTTCTGGAAGTCTCTATTGACATACTTTTTTTTTTTTTTTTGAGACAGAGCCTCAAGCTGTAGCCCTGGGTAGAGTGCCATGGCATCATAGCTCACAGCAACCTCCAACTCCTGGGCTTAAGTGATTCTCTTGCCTCAGCCTCCCAAGTAGCTGGGACTACAGGCGTCTGCCACAACACCCAGCTATTTTTTGGTTGTAGTTGTCATTGTTGTTTGGCAGGCCTGGGCTGAATTTGAACCCTCCAGCTCTGGTGTATGTGGCTGACGCCTTAGCCATTTGAGCTACAGGCGCCAAGCCTATTGACATACTTTTTTTTTTTCATTATTTTTTTTTTCTTCTTTATTTTTTATTAGATCATAATTGTGTACATTAATTCTATCATAGGATACAGTGTGCTGCTTCCATATGCAGTTTGGAAAACTCTCATCCAACTGGCTAACATAGCCATCATGTCTTTCTCATAATTGTTGTGTTAAGACATTTATATTCAACCTTTAGACAAATTCACATGTACCCTAATAGGATAAATTATAGGCGTGATCCCCACAATATCATTTTCTTCACCCATCCTCTCCCCTCCCCTCCACCCCTCCCCTTTCCCCGTGGTCTAGGGCTCCATTTGGATTGTAGCTTTCCTAAGATAGCTAACTATTAGTTTCATAATAGTGTTGAGTACATTGGATACTTTTTCTTCCATTCTTGAGATACTTTGCTAAGGAGGACATTTTCCAGCTCCATCCATGTAAACATGAAGGAGGCAAAGTCTCCATCTTTCTTTGTGGCTGTGTAGTATTCCATGGTGTACATATACCACAATTTATTGATCCATTCATGGGTCGATGGGCACTTCGGCTTCTTCCATGACCTAGCAATTGTGAATTGGGCTGCAGTGAACATTCTGGTACAGATATCTGTATTATAGCGTGATCAGAATGGGAAAAGATATTTGCTGGTTATGCTTCTGACAAAGGCCTTATAACCAGAATCCACAGAGAACTCAAGCGTAGTAGCAAGAAGAGAACAAGTGATCCCATCGCAGGGTGGGCAAGAGACTTAAAGAGAAACTTCTCTGAAGAAGACAGACGCATGGCCTACAGACATATGAAAAAATGCTCACTATCCTTAATCATCAGAGAAATGCAAATCAAAACCACTCTGAGATATCATCTAATGCCAGTTAGATTAGCCCATATCACAAAATCACAAAATCACAGATGCTGGCAGGGTTGTGGAGAAAAGGGAACACTACTACACTGCTGGTGGGAATGCAAACTAATACGTCCCTTTTGGAAAAGCATATGGAGAACACTCAGAGATCTAAATATAGATCTACCATTTGATCCTGTAATTCCTCTGTTAGGTATATATTGACATACTTTTAAGCTCAGATCCTTTCCTTAGCTGTGTCCAGTCTAGTAATAAGTTTATCAAGTACGTTCTTGTTTCTGTTACTGTATTTTGATCTCCAGCATATATATTTTTATTTTTTTCTAACATCTTTTTCATTCTTTCTTAGAATTTTTCTCTGACATGTTATCTACTTTAAAAGTCCTTAACATATTAATCATAGTTGTTTTTAATTCATGGTCTTTCCAACATCCCTGCCTTGTCTGGGTCTGGTTCTGGTGCTTGCTCTATCTCTGGAGACTGTTTTTTGCGTTTTAGTATGATTTGTAATTTTTTGTTGAAAGCGGACATGATGTACTGGGCAGAAGGAACTGTGGTAAATAGGGCATTAATAATGGAATGCTAAGGTGTAGGGGCAGGGTAGAGGGAAGTGGTCTCTAGCCCTGTGATTAGACTTCAGTATTTAGGTGAACTTATGTCCTTGAACTGTGACTTCACTAGTGCTTCTCTCAGGTTTCCCCCACTTAGGTGGGACAGGATGGCTATAGTGGGTTGGAGTGAGGTATAATATTTTCCTTCATCCAGGTTAGTTAAGCACCGATAAAATCCCAGCAGTTTAGGCTGTGGTTAAATAATTTCTCTTAAGGGCAAGTCTTGTTGGGGAGGGCCAATTCCTCTAGATATTTCAGTGTGCTTACTTGTTCCCTCCCCTGCCAGAAGCTTAAGGGGATTTTTCTCCATAGCTCCTGGAGGTAAGAACACAAAAAAGTGTGAGAACCCCTCTATGTCTGGGTACCCTGGGGTTTTAATTCTTAGACATGTCCACACTGAGCATCCAGCAGTTCAATTATATTTCGGTTTTACTACTCCAGTACTTAACTCTTGTGGAGGTTTCTGCTCATGAGTTTCTGCTTTGGTAAGTTAGTGTTCTTTATTTTCCCCCCTTTCTCCAATTTTAGGGAAGCAGCAGTTTGATCCATGACTTCATTTCTCAAATGTATCTAAAGAGAGTTGATCAGTTTGCTCAACTTTTTACTTATTATTAGGATGAAGTGGCAACTTGCTAAGGTCCCTGTATGCTATCTTGGAAACTAGAAGTTACATCTTTTTTTTTTTTAAAATAATTTCTCTTAATACTGTTCTCACACTGCTAAAAGACCAGAGCCAGAGATGTTTGTATTGTTAAATCTCCTCGGGTGGACTTAAAGGCTTGATGACATAACCTTATTGTCTCAGAGCAAAGCAGCCCAAAACTTTTCAATACCAAGATGATTATACAGTGAATATATGTTCTAGCAGCTAATTTGTCTGAAACCAAAGATGCTGATGGATAGTTAGCTGATTTACAAAATACTATATAAAATATAAAATACATAAGATAGGTTCTTAAAAGAAGTAAATGGTTCTTTAGCACAGTAGTAGTTTGGAAAATGGATATATGTTGTCCAAATGCTAATTTTTTTAATTAAAAGGAATGAAAATTATTTTTTCTATTATAGGAGAATGTTAAACGTAAAGACCATATTGACCATCAGAAGGATAAAGTTGCTTTGACTCTGGCTCGTCTAGCCCGCCATGTTGAAGTAGAGAAACAGCAGAAAGAAGAGAAGAATAGAGCATTCCGGGTATGTGCTTATTTTAATTGGTGTCTTAATGGATTATTGTGCTTTTCATAATAAAGTTATAAAGAGAAACCTTTAATCAGAAAGACTATGATTTTCCAAGTGTATGCTCAACAGAACACCTCAGTTTAATCGTAATTCATAGTAGCTGTTTTTAGTTTGTCAGATTCTTATCCTGTGTCTGTCTCTTGAAAAAAATACAATTAATTGAGTGGACTTTACTTTTGAGAATTAAAAATCATGAGATTTCTCAAAGCAAATGAGCAATTAAGAGTGGTTACTTTTCACAAAAGTGAAGAGTTTATCAGGGCTTTGATAGATACTAAGCTGTTTGCTATAACATTATTTTGTACCAAATAGAGCCAGTCCACTTTCTTAAATTTCAGCTTGTCTCACCAAATAAAATCCAATACTATGAGGAAGAAATTTGAAGCAGGGTTGCAGAAGAGCAGCTATGTGGAAAATGAAGTCTAATTTAGAATCTTGCATGAAACAGATGTTTTTCTTGATTTGCTTTAGAAGGCCCCAAATGAAGTTACTTGAAGAACTTCCTCAGTACTGGCAGGTATCTGGTAGGCTCTGTTAGGTAAAGGGTGATGAGTTGGGTAAAAAAACCCCTCCATACTAAAATGAAAGTTTAAATCATGATGTTGCCAGCAGCTGTTTGGATTTTAGCAAGTCACTTAACTTTTAAGTTTTATTCTGTGAAGGGACAAGTAGATGATCTTCCAAGTCGGATGAGCACTATGATTTTATAATTTTAACACCTGTGTTTTTGATTCCATGTTCCATTGGTTATCATAAAGAAATTTGTGTTTTTCTATAGCTTCTGCTTTAATATTTCTTAATTTGGTATTAAATCTTTAAATTTAGGAGTAGGTTAGTTTGAGACTTTATGATATAATACCACTTAAATTAGATCATAATATTTTTTATATTTTAAAATGTTTATTACATAAAGACAGACACACGCACACTATTATTTTTATCCTGGCAGAAACACTATTAAATTTTAAGAAAGTTTCTTTTCCAAAACTTTTCAGTATCTTTTTTTTTTTTTTAATGGGTCATGGAGAAAATCTTTTTGAGAGAGAAGACTATTTGCAGACTATCTTACTATTCCCTAGATTTTCTGAGTGATGCTGGCCTCTTTTCCCTAGAGTATTTTTTTTTTTTTTTTTTTTTTTTGAGGCAGAGCCTCAAGCTGTCCCCCTGGGTAGAGTGCTATGGCTTCACTGCTCACAGCAACCTCCAACTTCTGGGCTCAAGCGAGTCTCCTGCCTCTGCCTCCCAAGTAGCTGGGACCACAGGCACCCGCCACATCGCCTGGCTATTTTTTGGTTGCAGCCGTCATTGTTCTTTGGCGGGTCTGGGCTGGGGATTCGAACCCGCCACCTTAGGTGTACATGGCTGGCGTCTTAGCCGGTTGAGCTATAGGCGCTGAGCCCCCTAGAGTATTAATGGCCACATTAGTCAACATGACAGCTAAGGTTTTTCTTAAGGGTAATTTAAGATTTTCCACGCATATGTATGTTCATTCATTGTATTAAAGGCTTCACATTGAAGACATTATTTTAAATTGAAAAATTGTAATTTTTTGTGTAGTCATGTGTAAAGAATAAATTAGACAAGATTTTATTCTTATTTAAGGAGGAAACTGTCTTACAGTGGTGCATTAGCCCATTGCTTGCAATCCATCCATGATTTTGTTTTCCTTATTTGATTCCCCTTACAGATAACTTGTTCTTTAAAACTAGAGTGCAACATCCAAAAAACAAAGAAAAAATACCCAAAAAGGAAGATAATGAAACTGAAATAGAAATAATTTTTGAAGAATTCTAGTGAATGGTAATTCTGGCTAAAAATAGATACCATAGAAAATATCTTTCAGCCAGAATGGAAAAATGAGTTTGGGGAGCTCGGTGAATAGGGCACTGGCTACATATACCGAGGCTGGCAGGTTCAAGCCTAGCCATGGCCTGCTAAACAACAGTGACAACTGTAACCAAAAAATAGCCTGGTATTGTGGTGGGCACCTGTAATCCCTGCTGCTCGGGAGGCTGAAGCAAGAGAATCGCTTAAGCCCAAGAGTTTGAGGTTGCTGTCAGCTGTGACACTATGGCACTCTCCCGAGGGTGACATAGTGAGACTCTGTCTCAAAAAAAAAAAAAAAGGAATGGAGAAACGAATATGACATGTACTCAATACTAAATTGGAACTAGTTAATCAACACTTACATGCACATATGGAAGCAAAGTAGGTGTGACGGGGGAGAAGGGGAAGGATCAGCTCACATCTAACATGGGTACAATGCTCAGTTTCTAGGTGAAGGGCACACTTATAACTTAAAATACACAAAAACAAACTACATAACCAAAATGTGTGTACCCCTATAATATTCTGAAATTTAAAAAAGAAAAGAAAATGTGTTTCAACTCTTCTACGCCTTTGTGAATTATTGATGTCTTCATTATTAAAGTAAGTTATCTTTTGTTTTTGATGGAGAGGTTTTAAAGAAAAAAAGATTTATTGAAGTCTTCACTGGATACTGTCAAAGATCACTGTGCTGTGCTAACCAGGGGCCAGCTGCCAGCTTTGCTTACTGACATTCCAGGAGTTAAGATGATTTGCAAGAAGGGTTGTAACCCTAAAGTTTGCAGAAGTTGATTTGTGATAGAAAAACGAGGGCTAATTTTGGGATGATTTTAGTAAATATTTTCTTGAGTATTGACTGTATATGTTCAGAATTCAAATTTTCTTGTACGAGATGCCAGAGAACTTTTTAAAAAAGTGTTTAATTTTAGTTATTAGAAGTTCTTTTTAAAATAAGTATGCTATTAGCTACTATGTAGTAGTGTTTAATCTCATTTAATTACTTTAATTGAAAGGTTTTTATTGTAATGAATTTTTATAAAGAACTTGATAAATTATTTCATTTTATACCTAAGAAAATGTCTTAGGATATACCTACGAGGAGCTATTGCCAAATCTGGATAAGCTTGATTATACTATTTGTTTCCTAAACATGTTATTCAGGACACTAATCCTATAGGGATATACTTAGAAAAAAAAATTTGGTAGTTGATGAAGTTGGTTTACTGTACACTCTACATACAGAAAATCACAGTGCATGGTAGCACCTTAGGGCTTCAAAAGTCCTATGTGAAAGGTTCCTTTTAAATTTTTTTTTTTTTTTTGAGAAGAGAGTCTCATGTTGTCCTCCACCGTGCCATGGCGTCCTAGTTCCCAGCAAACTCAAACTCCTGGTCTCAAGTGATTCTCTAGCCTCAGCCTCCCAAGTAACTGGGACTACAGGCGCCCGCCCCAATGCCCAGCTATTTTTAGAGATGAGGTCTCGTTCTGGCTCAGGCTGGTCTCTAACTTGTGAACTCAGGCAATCCACCCTCCTCGACTTCCCAGAGTGCTGGGATTACAGGCATGAGCCACCACCCTGGCCTGATCCTTTTAAATTTTGTGTTAAGGTCAGCATGTTTATACATACCTACTTTGATTACTGAGAATTTAGAAAAAATTTATATAATGCATATAACATACTTGAGAAGTAGTATTTCATGCTAATACTTTGAACAATGTGTAGATTTTCTTCAAATTAAAATCTTAATCCGGCTCGGTGCCTATAGCTCAACCGGCTGGGGCGCCAGCCACGTACACCTAAGGTGGCAGGTTCGAATCCCCAGCCCGGACCCGCCAAACAACAATGACGGCTGCAACCAAAAAATAGCCGGGCGTTGTGGCGGGCGCCTGTGGTCCCAGCCTCTTGGGAGGCGGAGGCAAGAGACTCGCTTCAGCCCAGGAGTTGGAGGTTGCTGTAAGCTGTAATGCCACGGCACTCTACCCAGGGGGACAGCTTGAGGCTCTTCTCAAAAAAAAAAAAAAAAATCTTAATCCACACTTTTTTCTCCACTTACCCTTCCTGATAGAAAATCATGTTACATTACTAACTTGGCTATGCATTCTGGCCTTTTCTTACAAATCTAGCATTTTTTTGGCTCTCTGAATTCTTTTAAAATACATACAAATCTTTGAGACAGTATGATATACTTATTCAGTGCATGATTTCTAGAATCGGATTGCCAGAGTTTGGATTCTGGCATTGTTCCATATCCTTAGGTAATTTATTCCACCTGTTTGTACCTCAGTTTTTTTAAAATCATAAGATAGGAGCAATAATAATGCCTGTCTTGGGGCAGCACCTGTGGCTCAAAGGAACAGGATGCTGGCCCCATATGCCGGAGGTTGCGGGTTCAAACCCAGCCCTGGGCAAAAACTGCAAAAAAAAAAAAAATGCCTGTCTCAGAGTTATTGTCAAAATTAAATTTAAAGTCCTTTTAAAACAGTGGTAAGTGTTAGTAAATGTTAATTCAATGGCAAGTGGTGAGTAAATATTAATTCTTATATGCAGCATGATTAGAGAGTACACAAATTGTTTTATGAGTAATTTAACTAGAAAGATTTAGGCTTTTAGCAGTGCATCGGTTCAGTGGTTGGCATTGGCCAGTTACCTGTTGTAAATAAAGATTTATAAGAATACTGTCACACTCATTTGTATATGTTGTCTGTGACTGTTCTCATACTTCAACAGCACAACTGAGTAGTTGCAGTCGATAGTATAGGGCATGCAAAGCCTGAAGTATGTGTTATCTAGCCTTTCGTGGAATAGTTTGCCAACTCGATCTAGATAGCAACAAATGCTTTATACTGGCGAATATTAAGTGACAGTGCATATCTGCTTTTAATATTATTCACTGAACAAATATTCATTAGGGTCCTTCTGTATATTTTAGATTACATTAGGAAAATTAAAAAATATGTATAAAGTCTAAAAATGAAAAAATCTTTTACATTTCATTCCCAGAGGTAGCCATTAATAACATTTAATATATAGAGTAGACATAAAGTTTGTGTGCAGTTTAAATTGTGTTTTTTTCTCTCTGTGAGTGTATATAAATTTAAATTATTCTCTGTAAACATATATACATTTAAATTATTCTTTGTTTATATTTTGCCTTATTTGTTTAATATAATTTGGTAACCTACTTGGTATCAAAAGTATGATCTCTGGCTCAGTGCCTGTGGCTCAAGTGGCTAAGGCGCCAGCCACATACACCTAAGGGGGCAGATTCATATCCAGCCCGGGGCCGCCAAACAACAATGACGGCTGCAACCAAAAAATAGCCGGGC